GGGGGGGGGGGGGGGGGGGAGGCTGGGAGAAAGGAGGACCTTCGCAGGGGTCCAGATTTAACCTTAGGCGTAACGGGATACAATATTTTTAACATGATAACGAGGACGACCATGTCTCAAAACGAGGCTGGGCGAATTGACGTCACGCTTCACAAACTTGTGTCAAAGTTACACCAGGCTGTTACACTGGTTAGAGTCGTGCTCACTAACTAACGCGACCACATTCTGTACATGAACTCATGCAGACGATTCCATTTAAAAATAATATAATTTATTTTTTTGGGATTTGCGGTATATGTCTTTGAAAACATTCAAATGTAGCCGCCATTTACAGAATACCAACCACCACTTGTATGATTATTGACACCAGCCCTTTTTGATTTCGTTCATTGATTTTTTTTTTTTTTAGAATTCTGATTCGAGGGTCGCAAATAATCCTATAATTAGACAATATATGTGTGATTGCGAAAATTACTTTAAATCAGAGAGGTCAATAACAGCCAGAGGCGTACCGAGGTCAAGGCAAGACTGTAAGTGCTTTGGGTGCCACTTGAAATGGAGGCTCAGAATTCGCAAACTGGACAAAACATTTCAATACTTACAATATATATATATATATATCTTTGATAGGGGTGGAATAGTTGTTCTTGCCCCCTGCGCCATCTGTCGTCGGTACCCATCTGGCAACAACGAATTACTTGGCTTGGTTTCATTTCTTCTTTAGGGCATGTCAAAATTAGAAATTTAAACTGATTGCCGCCATGTTCTATATTTATTGGAGGAAGGGTTGCACACAAGGTCGTGCCGGGGGAGAAGCGGGGTCAGGGCAGAAGCGGGAGCCAGGGGAGTAGTGGGGCCAGGGCAGAAGCGGGGCCAGGGGAGTAGCGGGGCCAGGGCAAAAGCGGGGCCAGGGGAGTAGCAGGGCCAGGGGAGTAGCGGGCCAGGGATGAAGCGAGACCAGGGGAGTAGCGGGGCCAGGGCAGAAGCGGGGCCAGGGGAGTAGCAGGGCCAGGGGAGTAGTGGGGCCAGGGGAGAAGCGGGGCTAGGGGAGTAGCGGGCCAGTGGTGAGGCGGGGCCAGGGGAGCAGCCCTAAAATGTCGACCCTGAATAGAGGAGCAAAAAAGTGCCGCCCGGTGCGGAACGATTAAAATAAGATTTTAGCGCCCCTTGCCTTTGTGAAGTGCCTGTGATTTCATCGCTTAATTCACCATTAAGGTCCTATCTCAAGACGATATGGCACCACACCCCAACCCTTGATGTTAGCACCCGGAGCAAGTGTGCCCTTGCCCCATTCCTCTGCGGCGTGGCCCTGGTTGTACACCAGTCATATGTTATCCCCCCCCCCCCCCAAAACGCGGGACAGTTCCCCCGGGCACGCCGGAAAAAACCTTCATCCCTCGGCGGGTTTGTAAAAATTTTGGTA